TGTGTGTGTGTGTGTGTGTGTGTGTGTGTGTGTGTGTGTGTGTGTGTGTGTGTGTGTGTGTGCCAACGTAACGCTTCCCTGAAGACAGCTTAGAATAGAACACTACCTTAGGGACTCTTAAAATCAGGCATTCTTACAACATGGCCAGCCCAGCAAAGTTGGGTCCTGTTGTACTTAGAAAACAGACCCTCGACATTTATTGTCCTTTAAAAGAAACAACAGTGAGTTAATTATTTGGTATTTGATCAACCCTAGCACTAAATAAACTACCCACTGTCACCGCACCTTATTTCGCACACATCGCTCTGACTTGTATAATACTGTTGTAAGCCTGAATTATTCATCTGGCACAGCCCTGGAAAACCTTTCTCGGGATTGTTTTCCAATTAACGCTACCTTTTTGCGTCCCTGCCTATCCCATAACGGGGTGCCGTTTGGATTATATTGTGTCGCAACATGGCGAAATCAAGCGCTCGTCAGTTTTTTGGTATGACGAGTTTTTGCTATCGTCTAAAAGCTTGTTTATCGGTCTTGCTTTTTATTTTTTTTTAAACAACAACAAACAAACAACTAAAAACAGTATTATTTTACCATCTTGTGAAAAAAAAATCGAGATATTTTGCGATTTAAGACATTGGGTGAGGTTGGAAAGGAGGGGGGGGGGTAGCCTTGTGTCATAGATAAAGAGAGCGAGAAAATGGCCAACAAAATTATGTTGCCACTTCAAAGCTTGGGTGTCCCAGGAAAATGCAAGTTCACATTTTGTGTGTCTTTGATCAAATTGGGGTTGTTGTTTTTTTTCCAGTAAAATCCACACAGAAAGTTGATTTTAGATGGACATAAACGGTGCTGAGCTTCGACGCCACGCATCTGTCACTAAAATATATTTTTTTAATTCGCTTGTTTTTTTTTGTTGTCGTTGTTGTTTTGTGTTTTTTGTTGTTTTAGGGTTTTTTTAATTTTGTTGTTTTGGGTTTTTTTGGGGGGGGTTGTAAGTGTTTTACGGCTCTCGCAACCGCATAAGGTCATATGAGCGCGATGCACACATTAAACATTTTCAGCTTGTAGGAAATTTTGAATTTTGCCCGGCCGGTGGCTGAAGCCTACATAATAATCTATTTGGAACCACCAAGAGATCTTTAACGTGCGGAACTTGTACACGAGATCTCAGAGACTTTTCGCATTTTCTTTCCTGCCATAGGATCAGGGATGGGGGCTGAAAGACAGCAGTAAGAAGGAGCCCAAGGAGTAGCAGTAGAAAGGTTGCAGAAAGAGTCGGGAGCCCAGAAGAGGGGCAAAGGAGGTACGTGGGTGGGAGCAGAAAGGAGAGGCGAAAGAAGACGACAGTACATAGTTAGAGAGCGGGAAAAGATGTGGAAACAGAAAGTTATAAAGAAGAAAACTTTCCGTCGCTATCCAGATCAAAACACGGGACCTATTGGAGGAGAGGCAAACACCTTAACCTCCAGACCACGAGAGCACACCCCCCCCCCCCCCCTCTAAAATGTATGGTATATTGTACCCTACCAGTTCACACCTTTTATAGTATTGTCTGGCCCAGCTGGTAGCAAAAAGGGGTGACGTCAGTGGTTTAGTGGTTAGACACTCGGACTCTCAACCGTAAGGTTGTGGGTTTGAATCGCGTCAGAGACCCGACGATGTGTCCTTGGGAAAGGCACTTTGCAGGAATTTTCCTCACTT